GTCTGCACATTTGTTTATTCCTCTCTGAGCCTCTCTGTCTTTTTGAGGATAAAGAGTAAAGCACAAAACAGTTTCTCTTTTTGGGCATCCAAGACAGGCACAGGAATTATGTGTGTCTGGGATATAAAGAGGTCATTCTGTTTTCTTCTGAATACAGAAGCTTCCACCTCCCCACCTTTCCCTAAACTGGGAGCCCATATTGTTCTGTTGGGACATTTTTCCATGAAGATTTCTCACTTCACTCCAGATGTTTCCCATGCAGCTATTATACAACTCAGGAAAGGAGAGAAGTTGCTATCCAGAAAAAAAAAAAATAGAAAAGACTGGCCTACTGCCTCTATTCTCAATGACTCATTCTTATGTATGTGTGGTAGTGGGGTCAATATTTGTCCACTCATGGACTCCATACCTACTATGAGACTTAATTCAGTCCTCTGTCTTCCAGTCCTGTCTTTTAGCACTCTTTATACTAAATCTAGAGGCACGAGGGCTATCCTGTCAAGCTTATTTTTTTGTATAGGACTTGAATGAGAGAAGAAGAGAGAAGCCAGGATGGTTTGGACTTAAACTGCCCTTCATTCTTCTTATCCATTCTCTGGCCTAACTATTGTTCCTAGTTTCTAGGCCTGTTGCCTCCTGAAATCATCCTAAAGTGTTTCCCGGTTGGCTTAGCTTTGTGCTATCTGAAAATGTTTAGTAATCTCAAAAATTATCACTGTGAACCCTCTTTTCTGATCGAGAAGACTAGTCTCAGAACAAATCCAAGAGCACATATTGTTATTTATATATTCTCAACCAGAGAAGGTATTCCTTTGTTCCACTTACGTAAATCATTCTTCCAATATCATCGTGACTTCATTCCTTTTACATTGTCTCTAGGGTGAAACATTCTCGAGGTTTCTACACAGAAGGCTTTCTGAAAGTCTAAACGAATTATGTTTAATGTTTCTTTTTTAGCTGCATATATCCTCTCAAATAATTCCCATAAGTTAGGCAGGCTTGAGTTCTGATGACAGGAACCATGAATAAATGACTTTCTTCGTGCGTGCATTTTCTGTGTGAACATTATACTGTAGCTTGCTGTAGCAAACAGTTCTAAGAAGTTAATCTCGATGAGGCCTATATGGGTGAGTTCTCCCCTGCAGGGTGGGTATGATGATATTTTCAGGAGTAGCAGTTTAGTATCCAAATAATCAACAATCAACAAAAACAAAAACAAAGAAAGTACTACTAGAATAAGCTCGAAAGCTGGGCCTTTACTCTAGGCTTCTGGAATCTAAGGGTCTAAACAGGCCCTTAACCCCTCTGGGGATAGAAGTATAAAGTATTTTCTGCTATACAGAAACTGTCTCTGGGTAAGCTAAAAAGGGACCTCCGTGGTGAATCATGACCTGAAGGTGAGCCAGATTTTCCAGCTTTATGATACCTTCCTAGGAGGTGATATTTTTTGACTTTTTAATAACTTAAAAAATAATTTTGAATATTTCAGCTTTGATCTAGCTGAGCTACAGAGAATCAAGTAAATTACTCTTTTCCCATTTTTAGACATGAGTATTAACAGGGGAATAGAACCCCTCTGGGGCTAGAGTTGTGGCAGCAGTTATCACAGAGTGAATATCCCAAGAGAAAAGTGACTTTTTTGTGCAGAAGCTAGGCCAATGGGTCTTTTTCCCTGACTCGCCAAGGATTTTTGTCTTCACAGTTTCAATCTTGGAAGAGGTTTTATATAGAAGTTGTGTCAAATTTCTCTATATGATGTCGGTTGCCTCAGAGTTTTAGTGAGCTTGAAGATTAAGCAAGTTGTTCAGAGCATAGACTATGCATCCATGCCACTTAGCTTCACCTCATTCTAGCTATATTTTATGTGTACTTCAGTCAGTTTATCTGTAAAATGATAACGGTGTCTGCTTAATAAGACTATAGTGAGGATTAGTTGTATTAAACCATTTGAAGCATATCGTACAGTGCCTGGCACATAAGAAGTGCTCAATAAATATTAGCTGTGTTGTTATTAATGTTTATTATCCATCTCCAAATGAAAGGCAGACTCATTGATCTGAGGTTCCCAGAAGCCCTTGTTTTGGTAAAGCCATGAACTGGGAACGCAGCAGCTATCTGCAACTGCAGCTGTTTATACCAATAAATTATCCACTGTGGTCAGTTCTCCAACTTCCCTCCATAAGTTTTACAAGCTCTCAGCTGAATAAAACTGCTCAGTTGTAGTAATTCTTCATACATGACTTGTCATGGTTAGCTTTCCATGGCACATCCTATTTTCTCTGATCTATCTTCCAGGAAAGACCATTTAGGAGTGGGATTGCCTTAAAAAGTAAAAATCTTCAATAAAGTTCCAACTAGAGAGCTTAATTTTTCTGTTTACCACTCTTCATTCCTGAAGATTCATTTGCTTTTATTTTCTTCCTTGAATGATAAACTACAGTGTGATCACCATTATACATCACTGACTAGTGAACAAAAGTATGAAACAGTCTAGAGATATTTTTCATTTTAGAACTCACTCTCCTGTTCAACAACCTTACCTCCACTTTGGTTTAATGAAGCATTCTGACCATCCAAGTACCTGATCTGCTCCCATTATTTCTTCTTTGCCTCACTCTGTCATGTTTCCCTATAATTTCCTTAGGAGTAAAATAAGATAGGAGGATGGCACAGAGAAATAAATATGTACTGATTGCCTACTATGACTCTGCCAAGTACTTCACTGCGTAGGCTACATATATTCTATCATTATTGTTTATGGCCAGAGAATGTATACACAATAGTTACCACTTATTAAGGACTTAATATATGTCAGCTCCTTCATAGATACTGTCTCATTTAATCTTCATACACTAATTCTCTGGAATAAGTGTCATTATTCCCATTGTATAGATGATAAAACAGAAGGTCAAATAGCTGAAGCAATTAATGAAAAAGTAGCAGAGGCAAGGTTTGAATCCAAAAAGATCCATCTGACTCTAAAGCCTGTGTTCACCCCCTACAGAAATATAGGTAAGTAATTAGCTTAAATTATTTAACTATATGTAAAACTTTTTAAATTGTTACAATAAATTATAATGCTTTTGGTTTTAAAGAATGATTAAATCATCATTGTTTAAGGCATAAGGAAATGAAATGACTAAATTATAATAAATTATTTAACAAGTTTTACAATATTTTAGAAAGCAACTCTTAATGTTTTATTCTTATCATTTATCATCTAGATTAATGATTACAATTTAATTTTAACCAATAATTGATAGAAGCAAGTTAAATCATGATATAAGGGAGGTGGGAATACTGTAAATCACACAAAAATACAAAGGAAAGTTATAACAATCAGATTCTGGTTAAAATGTTAATATCTAATACTGATTTAATGTGTGGCCTCTTCCAGGATATTTGCATTTCAGCAGAATTCTACCTTAAACTCAATTAATAAGCTTTCAATTATAGGTTCTCAGTCAATTTTGTAAGCACAGCTATAGTTGAACTAGCTGAGAAAAGGTATATATTTCCATGCATCTCTCATCATATCATAGAAGATCTTCCCTACCTTCTTTATCCTCTCCAGTTCAGAATTTACCTGAGACATAGAACTGTATACTTCTCTCATCAATGCCAACTTTGTTTACCGCTATGCAGTAGTATATACCAGAAATGCTGCTGGTCAGTATGGTCAGGGTGCTCAGAGTCTAAAGAGAGAGAAGAAATGCATTAGTCACAGTTTAAAAAAATATGGTAGTTATTAATGCTATTCACCAGATATTTCTGATTCTTGCCCCTTTCAGGCACAATGATTTTTCTTCCTGGATTCCTTCTAATATAGTGGGGCTATGTGACTTATTTTTAGCCAAGAATTTAAGAATAGAAATGATGTTGGTCCCTTCTAAGCTGGAGCACTTAATTGCTATGATGAAACCCTCCAGCGCTCTTTCTCTCTGACCATAACATCAACAATGTTTGAGATGATGGCTAATCTGCCAGCCTGCATCCATAAATGGATACAATTAAAACAAACAAACAAACAAAAAAATCTCTTGCTGATGCAATTGGATATATGGCATGGGCAAAATAGAAACCTCTTTGATTTTGAACTAATCAGATTTTGGAGTTGTTTGTTTCCATAGCACAACCTGGGCCATTTTGACTGATACATGAGGCTACCTGGGAAGTGAGGCTATATTTATTTATTCATTCATTCACTTAATAAACATTTTTCAAGGTCTTCTTTGAATGTTGATCTTTTGGAAAAGGACTGAAAATAAGAAATTATCCAATTTCTTGAGGAAACTGTTATAAATATAGAATCATTCACAAGTCTGCCATATAGGAGTTAATTTCCTAAGTCAGAATAAGTTTCAAAATACTAACACTTAATATTTAATAATTTTTACTCTGTTGGGTATAGTGATTAGTATTTTATATATGTTATCTCATTTTACCTCATTTAATCTTCCTAGCAACTTTTTAAAGTGGAAACTATTAATAAGATGTTTTTAAATCATGAGGAAAATGAGGTTTAGAGAGGTTAAATAACCCACTGAAGGTCATGAAGCTCAAAAATAATGAAGTGGCATTCAAATCTAGAACTATAGTTTGACTTGAAAACCCCTGTTTTCAACACTACATTTTACTGCCTTGAGAATTAAAGGTATTCATAAGAGATAATAATCACTCTGGCTAGTGCAATAATAAAAAAAATATGTGAGGGAAGTGGAAAATCTAAGTCTCATTTTTTAACCATTAGAGTTAACCTTTTTCCCATTAGTTGTTGGCTTAGAATGTCTCAGAAGTCTAAATTATTTGTCCTCCTTTCCTATTCATTGACTGTCATGGAAATAACCAATAGAAAGAAAATTAAGGTGGATGGAGAAAATGAGAGAAGCCTAGATAAAGACCAAACTAAATAAGTAGGCTCTGGAGAACAAAAGTACCTTATTATCTAGCAGTGGAACACAGGTAAAAATTCAGGATTCTATTTTCAAGAATGAATTTTTTCCTACTCACCTTCTCTCATTAATCATATTTATTCTATAACTAGTTTACAAAGAGGCTTACGGTGAAAATATGTACTCATTGATATTAACTAGACCAAATTATTTTTTTCCTTAGGTGTCCTGTCTCAAGCTATGGAGTTACAGGGTACATCACACTAGATAGTTGAGATTCATCAATTTAGGTTCAGGTCAAGCTCGTTACCAGAGTCTGACTGCTAAACAATATTTTCCTTTGAGGATTATAGTATCTTCAGGGTCTGTAATGCAGATCTTGAGGAGGAAATTTCAGTGACTACTTCTTCAACTGAGGAAGCCCTGTTTCCTACTATTGCCATTGACTGTGTAGGAACACTTGTATTCCCTTACAGTGCTGGTGTATAGTATGTGCCTCCAGAATTATTTATCCCCATTATGGCACTGTTATTTTTTAGAAAGAGAAGAGGGCGGGGAGAGAGAGAGAGAGAGAGAGAGAGAGAGAGAGAGAGA